TCAACAAGAAAAATGTGGAGCAGGATTTGATTTTATCTATTGAGAATCATGACCAGGACACAGGGTGTACTATACCAGAATGAAGTCAGAATATGAATTGTGTTTGCTAAAATAATGCTTAAATAGATTTGGCTACTCACATTATCCATTAGCTCACATGGATAATTGGATATCAAAATTATTTGGAATAACATAATCAGATGACTCTTTCACAAAAAGCCCAAGAACACGTCTAAATGTTTTTGGCTGACCCTGCTGACCCATTGAGCATTTTGCTGTCCAATGGTTATGCATTAACTTTGCAATTTCTATTATTGTATTAGTTTTGAATATTTCTCGTGGGCATTTAATAATTTTAAATTATAAATAACTTTCAGTCAACTTTCAGAGTTAAATCTCTTTTTTGGCTCATTTTATCTGTAAAAGAAAATCTGCTTAATAATTATGCACACCTGAATATAATACATTTTTCACTTCCAGCTTTCATGAATAATTATGTATCAATTACAAATGATTAAATACAAGATTAATAGTAGTTATTAAGATTGATGTCGTTTGGAATTGGTAAAATGTGCTTGGAAAAAAATATGATCAGAACATCAACTTGCATAATAATTATGCACTGTATTTTTCCTCTTCTACTGTCGAGGTAATGCAGTGAATGTTGTGATTGGTTGTCAAGGCAGAATTTAGCAGCCTCGTCTCTGATTGGCTGGAATTATGGCATATTGTAACGCTGGGTTGTGTTGAGCAAGCAAGCTGTTGGCATTTAGAGAGCACTGAGGGCAGGCATCAGGTGAGCAAGCTAGTGAAACGTTGCACGCGCAAAAGAGGTCTGCACAAATCCAAAAACTTATGTTAAATGCAAAATTGATTTTCGTGCGCTCTAAATACTTTCTTCTTTGCGAGACAAACATTTTCTCCACAAAACTTAGTTCGCACGCGTGCAAAACGCACATTTGCGCGCTCAAAATATCATCTTCCGCGCGCAGAATTGTGGATAAATAAATGCTACAAGATGCTGACATGCATTCTGACTGGATTATGTTGTCAACTCAAGTAAATAAACAGAGGGAATCAACACTGTGAAGCAAAACAAGAAACATCTGTGGACATACTTCTGTTTTCAACTACAACAGAGCTTTTCATGCCATGATTAACATCTTTTTTTAGCCCTGGGTTAAAGCTAGACTTAACCCTGGGTTAAACAATACTTTTGCAATATTCAGACACAATGAAATACTACAGTGTAAGGGCCAAATGTTTTGTGTCAGATATCCAATCATTAATTGCTTCAATGCTTACCTCAATAAATATCCTCATTTTGAATAAAGTCATCCAAAAAACGTGAAGAATTAAAGTGGCCAATTTATCATAGAGAAAGCATTAAAAGATGAATACCTCAGGCAGACCCCTGTGTATAAAATAATTGTGGCAAACAGGGCAGGGCCGAAAGTCGTGGGAATGGAGCGAGGCCGGTGGCGCGAGTGCTAATGAGAGACACCTGCGTGCCACACATGTCTCGATTCGCAAGGAGGGACTATATAAGAAAGAGGGAGAGAGAGGACCAGGTCTGGGATACTTTGTTTTTTCTGTGCGGCATTTGGCCATGAAGTGGCAGCCACTTGTATTGGTTATTTTCTGAATGAAGGTTTATGTTTAATTTGAGCAATTGCAATTTCACAATGCATGGTACTGGCACATGATATTTGATCTATTCACGAACAACCTGTTATCTGATTTAACCAGGGGCTAAATATGCTGAAATATTGAATATTTAAATTATATTCTGAACATTTTCAACACAAACCTCCCTAAATTAGGTTTATTTTAGATTATTCATCATAACCTAGCAGTCAGAATCAAAGTGCACAGTGGGGAATTGCACCATGCATACTGTGTTCAGTACAAATTTTGTGGGTACGTTTGAGTCATTACCTAATTTAATTCCTTCATTGAACCAGGCACCAAAACAACACTTGCAAAAAAACTGAGCTATATTCATTCTTAGTGAATTTCCCCCACTGCATTTAAAAAAAAAATCATGATTAGTGTCTAGATGCACGATAAATCTTTAGAAACCAAACCACAGTAACTATATCAACACTGAAGCATGAAAAAATATTGAATTCTGACTGCTTTGAAATATAATTTCACACTCTGTTCTCTCTGAATCTAAACAAGCCAAACCCATTTGTCACCAGAGCTGGGTAGATTATTTACAAATCGTAGTCTGTTACAGATTACATGATGAAAACTGTAGTTAGTAACGTAATCTAGGTTACTTACTTTAGGCAATGTATTCTCTACTTTTTAGATTACTTTTTATTAAACTTGTTTAACACTTACCATTAAACATACCATATTGATATAAAACAGCAAAGAAAAAGAAAATATATTCCTTAAAATATTTCTTTCTTTCTGTCTGTCTGTGTCCTTATGAATATAGTCAAAGCTGCATGGTTTGACACACAGTAGGATTTTTAGAAAGGAAAATTTAAAAGAGGAAAAAAAGAAGAATTAGGGAGAATCACTAAATTATGAATAATGTACTGCCACTGTGTGAATAATATGTAATCATGCAATCCATAAAAAATAAATTGTAATCTGATTATGAGCACTTTAAAATGTAATATACTCTAATCATAAGTACTTAATTTTTGGAATCCGATTATATACTCCATAATACATGTAAGCAGCTACTGTTTGTCACAGCGCAGAACGTACTGTAGGAGGCCCAATGTGTCTTTGCATGACAAAATAATTATTACTATAAACAGATAAAAGGCTTCAATTTGAGTCACTGTTACTGTACAACATAACTGGTATTCATCCATGGATAAAAATCGTAGAGAAAAAGGGACAAACTTTGCCTTGAGACATGAAAGCCCACCCCATCGCACGAAACACAGCTCTGAAACATACAGTGGGTACGGAAAGTACTCAGACCCCCTTCAATTTTTCACTCTTTGTTATATTGCAGCCATTTGCTAAAATCATTTAAGTTAATTTTTTTTCCTCATTAATGTACACACAGCACCCCATATTGACAGAAAAACACAGAATCGTTGACATTTTTGCAGATTTATTAAAAAAGAAAAACTGAAATATCACATGGTCCTAAGTATTCAGACCCTTTGCTCAGTATTTAGTAGAAGCACCCTTTTGATCTAATACAGCCATGAGTCGTTTTGGGAAAGATAAAAATTGAAGGGGGTCTGAATACTTTCCGTACCCACTGTATACCAGTGGAACGAATTTCTTTCAACGCCATTGTTCTGCGGTTCCCTAGAACTTTGGAGAGGTCCTCAGTGTTATTCAAGAAGACACTGATCAACATTTCTGACATGCAAGTTTCTGTGGCCAAAGAACAGTCTGTACCAAAATCTGTTTTGCCACTACATTCATACATTCGTATCCCCAGTGGTGAATGCTTTCATGCGCTGATTATTAGAGGCACTTCTTGATGCTTTTGGTCCTTTTGTGAAGTCAATCCAGCAAAATTCTTTTTTATTGCTGTATGTTGTAACAGTTCCCATGGTTTGTGAGCTGAGGGCTAAACGTAGTATAATATTTAGGGCTGCCCCCTAATAGTCGACTAATCGTTAGTTGACGAGAAAAGGCTTAGTCGACCACATTTTTTAAGTCGCTTAGTCGCAGAAAAAAAATAATCCACAGGAAGTGGCAAAGTCATGCATTCTCTGACGAAAGATCGTTAACAGCTGCTCAGATGCGGTAATATACAGTACATTGGCCAGGACATCCAAACGCTCGCCTATCATTCATCGACCTCAAATATGGATTATCATCTGAAACATGTAAGTAGCAATTTCACATGGCCGCTCGCTCTAACGTTAACCTATAAAAATGTGCGCTATTTCAGTGTTTGTGTGGAATGAGGAAGCGTGCGCCGGTGTGATCACTTGCGCTTAAAATTTTTTGGTCATACAAATGGGAGTTATACATATTTGTAAACTTTAAAGACTCTTCTTTTATTTGTGTGCAGTCATAATAACAAAAAGACTTTGTGATTTTGTAAAATAATGAAGCAAACGGTGCGCGTTCTGTCGTCTCATCACGGTCTTTGAACTTGAGCGCGTCAAATAAAACGAAACTCCGTGTATACTTGCCTCAGGCATAAGAAATATAGGCCTATCTATAGAAAGCGAAATGTCTGCTTTTAAACGAACCAATTCAGATGGAAAACAACTATTCTCAGGTTATGTGATCTGTATGAAACATTATAGGCGCATCCACTGAGGAGATTATCAATTCATCACTGCAGCCGAAAATACAGCAAACACTGGTTTATCAACGAATTATTAAAATTTTAAGGCAGTCTCCTTGATTTTTTTCCTGATGCATTCTTATGAATGCCGGCATTACTTCTGCCGGTGCGCTGTGTGGCAAACCTTATTCGAGCGCTACATAGGCAATTAAACGCTCATTACTATGATTTATGGTTTATTAATATAAACGTGCGATTAGTCGACTAACAGCTTAACATGAACGACTACTGGTCGACCAGAAAAATCTTTAGTCGAGGGCAGCCCTAATAATATTATTGCTGTCAAGATAACATTGGCTCTTGCTGTATTCTGGGAGCGCAGAGGAGCTGGCAGTAAAATTCACGATTATGAAAACTTCAGTGCTTACTTCATGCCATGTACCGAAAGGAGGGCTGTCAATTGATTAAACCAGGGTTTCCCAAACAGGGAACTGCAAGGAGTTTGTGGGTTGATAAAAAAGCTAATAATTAATTATACTGAATGTAAAATTAAAATAAATAAATGGGCATTTCATTATCAAATATTTATTTTTTATTTTACAGCACAAGTGTGTACTGTATAATAGTAATATATTTCTATTCTAATAATTTAAAACATACTACTACTAATAATTGTATACATTTTTTATTATGATTAGTATTATCAACATTAGAGAACCGTGAACATGTAAATATATCAATTAAATTATTAACTTAAAATCTCAGGGTGTAGTTCAAGTAAATACAAGTAATATTACATCTAAGCGGTGTGGCTGATCAAAAAAAATCTGGGAACTCTTGGATTAACCCTATTAATTTCTAATAGTTCTAGTTAACGTGCTACCGCATTCAGTTCCTTTTCAAGGAAAGAAAATAAAATCAGACTATGTAATTATTAGTTTCATGAATTTATGTGGATTCTGCTTAAATGTTTGTGCGAAATCACAAAACAGGATGAGACAGTAAGTCAGTATTTAACATCAAACTGAATAAACGTGGCAACGGTTTAAATAATGAAGTGTTAAAACTTACTGTATTTACTGTATGCGTTAACATGTTAACTGTCACAGCTCTAGTTGTATGTGATGGCTGATTCTAAATAAGTCTTCTATACTTCTCTGGAAGACAAAGATGAATTAAATCACGATTGCTGTTCTCAAAACATTAAGATATGACCCATAGAATGAGCATCAGTGCGAAGTGTAGAACAGGTGCAGCTCAGTGTTACTCAGCCTCATTGTACGTCACACTTTTTCTTTGGTCATGTCCCAAATGACGCACTTGATATTGACTTGTGGTCTTGTGCTCTTTCCTAACACATGTCTGAGAAGTCCATAAGACTGTAGGATGTCCCATTGATCATTTCATGATTCATAAGGGTTCTCCTGAGGGATCCTTTTTGGCCACAATGTGCCCTTGATGCCGTTTGCCAAGCTTACCGTAACAAAGGACCAACTGACAGTCTTAGTGGCTTGCCATTGCAAGAATTTAAGTGGAGGATGACTGCAAAGGTTGAAGGTGGCATTTGAGACAGGACATTTGTCTCTGATGTTAATAAACTGTCATAATGAAAAAACGTGGCAATAAGACACACACATCTGGCTTGATAAGCCCACAGGATCCTCAGCAGAACAAGCATCACAGGTATGTTGTGGCCTCGCGGTTCTCACGTTCTTTGGCCTGGGCCACAGCCACATTGATGCACTGCAGCCACTCTTCCGCATGCTTCTCGTCTTGAGCTTTCAGCACGTAGGTTTTGCTGTCGGTAAAGATCTCAAAGGCTCTGGGCAGCCCGCGGTCACGCCTCTTCTTTGCAACCACCTTAACGCTTTGCACTTTGCTAAGTTCAATTGTGCTGTTGTCCAGTTCATCCTTCTGTGAGTAACAAGAGGGAAAAAGCTAATGCTTTACACTAACAATCAGGAAGCTTTGCATGGACCACAGCCATGTGCATTGAGCCAGTAGTCTAAGTCAGACCCAACACCTCGTCTGCACTGAGTTTTTACTCACTTTACTCTGAGGTTCACCTGACGCCAATCAGACTTTTGAGACACTTTATCAGAGTACTTTGCAGAAATAATATACTTTAAAAGAATATACCTAAGAGCAACTGAATTTAATGTTTTTGGACAATTAATTGCATGTTAATTTAAATTTAAAGGGAATTAATGAATTTTAAGAGTGCTTTTTGACCCACTTAAGTAGGACTTAAGTACATCTTATATGTAATTTAATAATTGCTTCTATTGTCTTTGAAATACAGTTAAAGTGCACTCACTGTAAACTAAAATATACTTGAATGTCATTTCTGTTTACTTGTATGTCATGTATTTAAATATATTTATAATTACAAATTTTTAATGATGAAGTTGAAGTTTAGTAAATTTTTAAAATATATTAACAAACTACCTTATAATCAGGAACTTTACATGTTTTTTAGTAAGTCAACACATCAAAATAAGTGTACTTCTTTAAAGCACAACATACATTTTACATGTTAAAACATTATGATTTAAAGGTGCTTTAAAGTAAAACTTTTAATTTTCACAAGGGATACGGTGCGTTTGCATAATACACAATCTTGTGATGACTAGTCAACCACTATTTCCTGATGGGAAAACACAATGGATGGGGTTTTCGGTTGGAGGATCAAAGCGTGCATGTCCTCTCTTGATGGTTCCAGATCTCTTACTCTATTGTTCTGCCTGTCTCTCAACTTGTTTTAAGAGGCGCTGCACAAGGTTTGCCAGAAATGAGGCTTATCGTTGTTTGTGTCCACTGATGAGAATAAGCACCATTAAAATGAAAGAAAAACTAAAGAATTGCAAGCAAATTAAAGGCATAATAAAAACAAGATACCGTGACGAGGCCAAATTGTCCTCAAAATCATATTGAAAGAGCTTGTGTCATGCCTGATAAAATTAAGACTCTGTCAAGACTTTGCAAAATAAAATGACTGTAGCAATGCATTGCTTTTCCAAATTAAGATTTACAATCAATCAAGATTTAATGTGCTTACGGCTCTGACAAATGAAGTCATTTTTACTAAAAAGCTTTTGCTGGCTTTCTGTCAGAATACTGCGAGACTGACTGATCTTAGCTTTTTAGTCACTCTTTGTATGTCATGGTTTTGGTTATGAATCAATAAAAGCTCTTTTGCACAACCCTAAATGGCTCCAAGTTATATGGACGCATATTAAACTGGGTCTTTGCTTTGTTTAAACACAACAGAGAGATTATGACAAGCCATTTTAGTTTTATTTAGTTCAAGTAAATCCCTTCAAGGGAATGTTTTGGTGAATCTCAAGATTAAGTAATGGGTTTTTATAAAGAACTGATCATCTTCCATAAAGCAGGGCACTAGACTAATAAAATTACTAGTGAGCCATTAGCTCCTAGAATAAAACATCTAACAACTGAAATACTTTTTTAGTCATCAGATTACAGAATTGCTCAATATAGATGGTGGTTCAGGAACACTGTTTTTCATGCTCGTAATCTTTTGCAATGGGTGAGGGTTCACAGGCAGATGCAAGAAGACTAGTTTTCTTTCAAAAAGAGGACATTTGGCCCCTAATTAGAATGATACACTAACAAATTTTTCTGAGGACTTGATTTGATTGAAAACAAATGAATTAAATGATTAGTCAAGCAAAAACTGACATTTTCTCTGCATTCTCTCACTGTCATGACATTCTAAACCCATATGACTTATTTTCTTCCATGGAACACAAAATAAGATTTATGGTCTCCCTGCTCTATTCAGTATATTGAAAGCAGACCAGTGATCAGAGGTAGCAATACAATAGCTTTGGGAAGCAATACAATAGCTTTGTGTGAGAAACAGACATAAATTTAAGTCATGGTTCACTAATAATCAGTATTGCTCTCAGTTGTCATTGTGTTTTTCAAATGTGCTACTTTGCAAAGAAAACGGCATTTGGCATTGATGTCAAACTTTGGGTGACACGTCTAAAGCCCCGTGCACACCGGGACGATTATCACGCACATGCTTTTCGCCAATGTTTTTCGACACGTCTTTTGTGTTCATACCCAAGCGATTTTTGCTGGCGATGAGCCGAGTGAACGTGCAAATTCACTCCCTGACATTAGATGGTTCTTAATGAAAAACAGAAATACCCCAGTACACATCGAATCCTATTTGATCTGCAATTCCTCTCCATAACAACTCCCTCTTATCGAGATTTTTGTAGTCACTGTCGCGTTTGTCATAAAGCCCTTTGTGTTCAGACACCAATGAGACCAGCAGCTCTACATTCATCTTGCCTCGATGCATCTTCTTGGTCTACTTACTTCCTCTTCGTCGTTAGGTATCAATGTGTGCTCGGCAAGACCGTTTTGTGCTTGAGCGCCACCAAGTCGTGTTTTACTGTAACTTCAGCAGCTCCAGGCACGTGAACAAATGCACCAATCTCATTGGTCGGCCAGTTTTTAACGCGGCGCGTCAAACCAAAAAAACGAGCCAGAGGCGGTTTTTTTTTTTTTTACGCTTTTATGCCTCGCATTTTGCGCGTCGGTGTGCACACTCACATTGGCGCCCTTTGTTTAGTCACGAGGCGTTAAACGTCGGCGATAATCATGCGCGATAATCGTCCTGGTGTGCACAAGCCTTAAGAGTGGCATGAAAAGAAAGACTGAGCAAACAGCTTAAATTTTGGTTTGGTTCTTACAGGGCTATCATTTGACTTCTGAAGATCTGGAACATACCGCACATGTTGTATGGAATATGTTTGGAATAAAGTTTTGAAAGTGTTCTATGCTCACCAAGGCTGCATTTTTTAATCAAAATACAGTAAAAACTGTAATAAATTGTTTTTTGCTGCTTAATACTTTTGTGGAAACGGTAAATTTTTTTTTTTACAGAATTCTTAGATGAATAGAAATTTCAATGAACAGCATTTATTTGAAATATAAATCTTTTTAACATTATAAATGTCTGTACTGCCACTTTTGATCACTTTAATGTGTCCCTGCTAAATAGTATTATTTATTTCATTAATAAATATATATTTATTTAGTCATTCATTCATTTCATTTTTTTAATCTTACTTACACCAAACTTTTGAAAGGTAGTGAATGCACATTTCCACAAAAATATTGCACAGCAAATAAGGGTGAGTAAATTATTTTTTTAAGAGTCTTGACAGTAAGGAATGCATAAATAATACATTCTGAGGTCTTGTGAATAAGACACTTACTGATTTTCCTCTTCGGAAGAGAAGCTGGTTGCCGGCGAGGGTAAAATAACGTGTTTTCCACCTTTTGATGAACTTCCAGCGCACTTGTTTCTCCTTCAGCTTCCCCTCAATGAGTGGCTGGCCGTCCTGGTTAACAACTGAGCAGAAAGTGTAAAAATGAAATGGTCAGACAATGTTAAAATAGAAGGAAGAATCACAGAAGTTGTATGGACTATTGTAATTGTGTTTTTATGATGTTTTGATGAAATGATGTGAGTAAATGATGAATTGAAATTTATAGTACAAGCCCTATAACATTAGCCCCTTTCACAGAGTAATGCCAGCAAATTACCGTAAAATTACCAGAATTACTTTTCCGGTAAATACACAAAATCAGCTGTTCACAAAAAATAAATAAATAAATAATAATGGTGTTCTGGCTTTTTACTGTTAAGAGACCATTCACACATCAGCACCAAAATACCAGTGAACTCTGTGATGCCAGTTATCAGAAATTATGCCGTGTTTTTAATTCATTAGCTCAGATGAGGAGAAGTGCTTAAGTTAACTTTCCAATTTGATAATTTGTTACTTTTGCATGATAGGTGTAAGAAGAACATGTTTCTGTGCTTAAAAACACAAGACGCCACACAATAGTATCCAACTGCAGAGCCACAGTGCTGATGAATGGAAAAGAAGGCAGCTTTAGAGTGGAAAGCACAACACAATGATCAAAGACGTCCAAATAACACACATTTACATAGAAAAAACTATTTAAAAATCCGTAAATAGCCTGGAATAACATCATGTCTGTCAGAACTTTATGATTGACCCAAAGCAGACTTCTTCCGTCAGCGCGTCCATGTGTGGTCATTCCAGTAATCTTATTTTTTTGTTCACTCATAGCATGTTACTGGTAGTTACAACTTCTCATACCGGAAAATATCCAAAACTGATTTACCGGTATTTCTGAAAACTTCCTGTTCACACATTACCTCTAAAGCGTAATTTACCAGTAAAGATAGCATGTGTAAAATTGGCTATATTTGTCACGACACACACACTGGGGAGCACAGGAACGAACGCGGAGACGAGGAATAAAGTAAATTTCAAAGATTTAATAAACAAAAGCTGGGAATACAGAGACACGGGATACACTGAGGACACAAAATTACATTCGACAGCGGACAGGAAACAAGGGGCAAAACACACCTTATATAAACAGAAACTAATGGGACACACCTGGGATCAATAGAACTAAATGGGAATAGGAACAGGAAAAACCAAATTTGAGGAAAACACAACAGGAGACATGGAACAAAGTCTGACAATATTCTGCCCAAAGAAAATAGGGCAGAATTTTAGAGTGCTAAGTCACTCTAACAATACTCTTCACTCACACAGCCATCCTCTTCTGGACCTACTCCATGCTATTTACTAAGTTTTCTCATTAGACAAACAAAAGAGCGTTGCTCAGTGTTTACCACCACGTTGAAATATCTGGTGTGGTTTCAGGCACGGTGAATATTTTGTCTCCTGCCTGTGTTTGCTGGGTCTGTCTGAACTACACAAAGCATTTCACAGATCTCTCATGGGTCTATTTCAGTTAAACAGGAAGCTGTGTTATAGCCCTTCCAGGATGGTACAAAGCAGCCCATTGTCTGAGTTTTCGTTTTTTTCAGCAAAGAAAACAGATGAGAATCTGCAGCGCTTTGATAGCCCACTTAATATTAAGCAAGACTGATCTTTGATAATCATCTAACTATGATCCCAACTGGCAGAAGTTAAGTCCATGGTGTATTAGAGAACACTGGAGCGCTGATTAACACCGGGGTAAAAACTTACTGCCCTTGACCTGCCTCAGTTCCCTGGAAAACAAAAAAGGGCCATTTGTTTTTTGGTTAAATTAGGTTAGTATAATAATTTAATTCTGGGATATAAAAGGCACATTCTAGGAATAGGGTACAAAACAGGGCCTGAAAGTCTTAAAAATTAAGTCATTTTCTTTTTCTTTTTCAACAAACTGTCAGTAAAAGAAGGCACTTAACCCTCAGAAAATGTTGTTCTGTTATTAAAATTAGTTAAATAAATAAAACATAAAACACATTGAATGCCAATTCAACAGATTATATCAAAACAATGATGTACTGGGTGTCAGATACACTTGAAGTGGTACAGCCAAAATCATCATTTCAAATTTCAAAATGGCAGAACAAATGAGAAGCCTTAGACGAGATAATTGTTGTTCTGGTTATTTCAGCCCAAAGCTTTCTGCAGATGTCTGCATTACAGTGCTGGTAATGAGTGATAATTGAATTAGTGTGTGTTTATCCCATGAGTAACATAATAATTCTCTATTATGAATTCCAAATAAATTCTTTTTCATTTTACTTAGATTTTTTTTTACTCTCTCTGCCTTTCTCTGGCATGCATGAATCAAAGCATTTGTATGTGTGTGTGTGTGTGTGTGTGTGTGTGTGTGTGTGTGTGTGTGTGCGTGAACACAAA